AGTGAGTTGCTATGGTATATAACTGAGTTATTGAGCATTCAACTACAATAAGGTGAGTAGAGTGCATTTACGACGCTAACCAGACTAAATAGATTTTCGTGTGTGCTGACATAGTGGGTGTGGAGAGCCACGTGGGGTGTAGAGGGGGGGTGTGGTGGCTCAACACACAGGGGGGGTGTGGTGGCTCAACACACAGGGGGGGTGTGGTGGCTCAACACACAGGGGGGGTGTGGTGGCTCAACACACAGGGGGGTGTGGTGGCTCAACACACAGGCCAGGTGTTACACTCGAAGGGATAAATCGGTCAAACAGGTTGGTATTATCGACGGCACGTTGGCCGCCGCGATGGAACTCAACAACCAAAGAAATGAGGCCATGTATACGAGGTAATTGTGAGGGAGCGAGACCTGGAAGACAATCAATGGCCCAATAGGCGAGGCCTGACAAACAATCCCCAGCAGGCCTCGGAGGAAATAAAGAACGGGAACTGCAATATACACAGACCAATAATCCTGTATGACACAAGGTAATCCCCGACAGTGAGGCGGAGAGGGAGAGGCACACTGGGTAACTCCCCGTGACCACACTTAATATTATCAGGAGTGTCCGGGGGGGGGGGGTGAGGGGGAGCACCGTGTTCCCTAATGATCAGGAGCTGCCGGAACGACCCCACCTCCCTCACACTCATGCTTGGGGGGGAGGAGGGGAAGGGGGGGAAAGAGAGAGAGAGAGAGAGAGAGAGAGAGAGAGAGAGAGAGAGAGAGAGAGAGAGAGAGAGAGAGAGAGAGAGAGAGAGAGAGAGAGAGAGAGAGAGAGAGAGAGAGAGAGAGGAGGAGAGGGGGGGAGGGAGGTTCTTCAGCACCAGTGACTATTGACAGAGATATCACGAGTGATCTAACTATAAGAACCAGCTCACTGAAGCTCCAGCTGGCACACACACAAGGTGTCAACAAGTAATGTTTACAGCGATACAAATGTTGGCGGACACTACAAAACTTGAAAAAAACTACAAAAACTAAACTACAAAAAAAACTACAAAAAACTACTAAAAACTTGAAAAGAAAATCAATACCAAAATAAAAATGTCAATTAATACAGCACATTGTCCGCTTCCGCGTCTGTCACGTGCAAACTGTCACGTGCAAACTGTCACGTGTAAACTGTCACGTGCAAACTGTCACGTGCAAACTGTCACGTGCAAACTGTCACGTGTAAACTGTCACGTGCAAACTGTCACATGTAAACTGTCACGTGCAAACTGTCACGTGTAAACTGTCACGTGCAAACTGTCACGTGTAAACTGTCACGTGCAAACTGTCACGTGTAAACTGTCACGTGCAAACTGTCACGTGCAAACTGTCACGTGCAAACTGTCACGTGTAAACTGTCACGTGTAAACTGTCACGTGCAAACTGTCACGTGCAAACAGTCACGTGCAAACTGTCACGTGCAAACTGTCACGTGCAAACAGTCACGTGCAAACTGTCACGTGCAAACTGTCACGTGCAAACTGTCACGTGCAAACTGTCACGTGCAAACTGTCACGTGCAAACTGTCAGGTGCAAACTGTCACGTGAAAACTGTCACGTGCAAACAGTCACGTGCAAACTGTCACGTGCAAACAGTCACGTGCAAACAGTCACGTGCAAACTGTCACGTGCAAACTGTCACGTGTAAACTGTCACGTGCAAACTGTCACGTGCAGTCACGTGTAAACTGTCACGTGCAAACTGTCACGTGCAAACTGTCACATGCAAACTGTCACGTGCAAACTGTCACGTGCAAACTGTCACGTGTAAACTGTCACGTGCAAACTGTCACGTGCAAACTGTCACGTGCAAACTGTCTCAGCCAAGAATTAAAGGTGTGGCAAAAGGATTGAAGCAAGCTATTAAGGGGGATGGAATGTAAGGGGGGATGAATGGGGCAGTAGGGAGGGAGAACGAGAGAACACCAGTGGGCAGGTGAGAGAACACCAGAGGGCAGGTGAGAGAACACCAGTGGGCAGGTGAGAGAACACCAGTGGGCCGGGGAGATAAGACCCGCGTTCATGAGGTGACACTACAATCGCTTTTTTGTGTGTGTGTGTAAATCTGGAGAGGGCCCGAGGAGTCTACTGACTCTTGCTCACAAACTGAGAGTTCTTTCACTCACTACTTCAGACATACCCGGCAGTTGTGGGAGTACAGGGTAGTGGTGTACCCGGCCGTGTGCCGTCAGTGGTGGTGATGACGGTAGAGGGAGAGAGAGATATTACCCGGGTGTCAACACCACCAGAGGAGCGCTGTCCACTCCGGGGCCAGCCCAGGTACCAGGATTTGTACGCTGGGAAGGTATGATACCTTCCGTCAGGCCAGACGGTTACCACAGAGGCGGAGAGGTTGTGTGTAAGGGGGGGGGTATGGGACGGTAGGAGGTGGCATCGGCCTGTGAGGGTCATGTGAGGGTAATGAGTGTGTGGTGTGAGTTGGGTGGGGGGGATGTGAGGGTGGAGGCTCATGTGGGAATGTGTATGAGCGTGTGAGACGAAGATAGGAATTTCTCCCTTTTTACTTTCTATTCCCGCTACCTTAACAGCTAACCCATCTTCATCAACCATCTATCCGGTCACATCCCGTCACCTCTAGAAACATAAATCTCTCTCCACATTACACACAGAAATCACAATAGCGTAATGCGTCAAATGAGCAAATCCACAAGGGCCGTAACGAGGGTTCGAACCTACGCCCGAGAGGATCCCAGACGTTGCCTTAATCGACTGAGCTATGCTGAGCTCTGTCCATATCTTTTCCATCTACTGCCTGGCTGACTGACTTCTCTTCCCCCCCCCCTCCCTTCATTTACTGTCTCTTCTTTTCCCCTCTCTCTGGCAACCTATATAAACCTTCCCAGTGCACTTACCATCTTCCCTCTCCTACATAGGTCCCCTCTACCTCTTCCCCTCACGCACACACACTTCCCTCTTCACCTAGTGTTGGCGGCACTAGCTCCACGACACCCATCATTTCTGCTCCCATCGACCAAGCCCCACCGCCACGTATCGACCAGCAGCAGCAGCAGCAGCAGCCTTAGTCGTGATAGATGGACACGTATTAATACCGGGATTACAGCCTCACAAACACTTTATAATGAAATTCATTACGTCATAACGTCATGCTGAACATATCAATGCGTATACGGAGACCGTCAAGATCATAACAAAAAGCCACTCTCAATATAAAGTTTTATTTTAAGAAGTGTACATTGTTGTGCTTCGCCTCGGGTGACCCACACAAGTTACTAGCAGGAAAACTAACTTTAAATGCAAAGATTTATACACAAGTGTTGGGTTAGAATATCAGGCCGCCGATTATACACGATCTTGCCATCTTATCAAGATCTTATATATTGTTTTGCGCGCCAGAATGAAAAGAAGTTCGCTTATTTGAGCCCGACAAGGGGTCCAGCACATGGCCTCTCAGACGTTAATTACTGGGTACTTACGGCTCCAGGCCTTCAGTTATATAACAAAGACCATTGCCCCCAACCGCTTGAAAATTAATTATTGAAGGTAATCGCAGTTAAGTTTCGTGTTTCGTTCGAGCCGAGTTCACCCACAGGGAGGGTTGCCTATCCTCTCCCCCTCCCACGAGAACCCGACCCATGCACCACATCCCCTGTCCTCGGTACCGCCCCCACCTGCACCCACTAATATCCGTCAGTCCCCTCCCCAATCACCCCCGCCCTCCCCTCCCCTCCCCCTCACACCAGACACCGACTGCCAGTCCACATTAGAATCGATATTAGATTAAAATTTCCTTGAGGGTATAAATCATGAGAGGTGGGAAGTGCGAATAGGGGTGGGGGGTAAGTGCTTTCTCATAGTGTTTACCCTCTTCAGGGAGAGCCCTGATCTTATCTCATCATCCCCTGCTGTATGATTATAAGTACGCCCAATGGCCTTCATTGGTGTCATAAGTACATCGTTCACAAGTACGCCCGTTGGTGTTGAACGCCCATTAGCGTTCAACATTGGTTGTTCTTCAGGACACATGAGTACCTTAGCCATCATTAACTTAATTACCAGCACTTAACTGGACGATTAGACGGTTGCAAATAATAATACCTGCAACTGATGACCCAAGAGCTACAGCTTTACTCGGAGCTAATGAAATGTAAATTAAATATGGTATTGAGTTATGCAGACTTTCTCTACATGGACGTTAGAGCCAGTCTTTAAGACTAACAGACTGCCAAGAGGGAAACTTTCCTTGGCTCGCCGCCCAGTTTGATTTCCAGGGCCATCCGCCAGCCACCCTGAGAACTTACAAAGATAAATTGACCGTATTAGGGCGAACCGAAGTGCTCTTCCGGGAGTCCAAGACCGGGGATGGTGGGAGTGGGAGGGGGGGGGATTAAATGGGGTATAGGCTTAATCCAGCCTCTTGTAACTTATTGTCTACTACTCTTACTACAGTCTGGGCGAGGTAAGCTCGTGTGCTGACAGGAGTTTCCAGCGCCAGCATAAGGCTGTTGTTCTCTGAGAAATCCGGCTGCTGGAACCTGACACTTGAGGGTGTCGGCCTTCTTCCAGCAACCCACAAGACTTGCTATAAGATAACGACTCTTAGGACGTGTTTGAACCTGCGAAGGGCCAAATCACTATCGCCGGTCTGGGTGGAATGTGCCGACATGTTGGGTTCCAAACTAAGGATATTTTCTTTGTGGGAGGGTGGCTGGTGATTTCTTTGTGATCTTTATGCCCCAATGACCGCCCGCATGCCCCAGCTAGACGCAGCTGCTACGCTTCCTTTGTCACACACTATGTCTAACTCTCACAGTCCTCGTGACCGTTAACTATTTACTATAAAATAATTTATTACTGATTTTGTAGATTTTATTTACGTGATATGATTAATAAATAAAAAGTTAACTTTAATAAAAATTTGTAGTAAAACAAGAAAATTATTGATTCTTCAAAGTCGTGAGAGTTAGTGCGCACGCACCCATCTTCTGTCGCGGCCCATCTGCTGGGATCAGTCAGGGTTTGCACGTCAGAGCGGGAGCACGTTTCTTAAGCCACTGAGTGATCTCCCATGTGGTGTCTGTGGTGTTACATGAAGTGTTGGTAGTGGCGGCGAGAGGAAAGATGGTGTCGAGCGTGTGTCGCGGGTCATACCCTAGCATGACTCCACATGCATCTCCCTCGCGGAAACCGCACATTGACCCCCAAAAGGATTACTTTTCGCCGCTGCAGGTGGAGACGTCGGTTGAGTACGACCTTCCAGCTCACATCTATCCTCCGAAGGGCTCGCAGCCTATCCTCATGATCCACCCGGGTTACGTATCGGCCGTGAGGGCCAGGTCCAGGGCCGTGGTCACCCCATCGCCCACGGCCATGGTGGCCACCTCGGGGGCGACGCGCCCTCTGGCACCGCTGCAGCTGCCACACCCGCAGCAGCACCAGCAGGTGGTGGGTGCCAGGCCCTCGCGAGCCGCTCAGCCGCGCCCCTTGTGCATGTGTGGCAATGTTAACTGCAATAGTGTCAAATCAGTCAATGTACAAAGTGTTAGAAACGTGCAAAATATACAGAGCCAGAGTGCAGCGAGAAGTGCTCAGAGCCAAAGTGCAGGAAGAAATTTACAGACCCAGAGTGCGTTCAGAAGTGTACAGAGCCAGAGTGCCACCAGAAGTGTACAGAGCCAGAGTGCAACAAGAAGTGTTCAGAACCAAAGTGCCAGAAGTGTGCAAAGTAGTCGGGATGTGAATATGTTGGGGATCAGCAGCAGAAATGGTGCAGTGCTTCTACAGCAGCAACAGCAGCAGCCTCAGCAACAGCAGCCTCAACAACAGCAGCCACTACAGCAGCAGACACAGCAGCAGCCTCAACAGCAGCCGCAGCAACAGCCACAGCAGCAGCCACAGCAGCAGCTGGTGTGGGGTAATGGTGGTCGGTGTATTGGGCCATGTTGCAACCCGAGGCCAGCTGCCATGGCTCCTCCTCAGGCAGAGTTCGTGGCTCCTGGCCTGCCGCCCTCCTTGCTCGCCCGCACCCCCACCAGAGGCACTGCGGGCGGCTCCCCCAAGCTGCGGGCGGCCCGTACCAGACGCGGGCTGTCTGTCGCCAGTAGTGTCAACCTTCCGGACTACCTCGGCAGCAGCCGCCCGGCTCGGGTCACGGGCGGGGCTGTCCACGTCCACCCACGCCCACGGGCGTTATCTACCTCTATGGGTGCTCTTGCCGCGACGCCCGCACCTCCGATGGCACACCAGCATATTGGCATGAGTGCCTCCCTCACCACCTCCCTGGACTTGTCGAGGGCAGATACCCTCACCCCACGGTCCCTATTACCCGTCCAGCAGCAGCAACATCAGCAGCAACAACAGCAGCAACAGCAACAACACCAGCAGCAGCACCAGCAGCAACAGTCGTTGCAGCAGGCGCCAGCGGTCTCCACCTCCTCGCTGCTCTACACTGTGGGCCTCTCCAGGGATTCCGGGTGCTCTGTGGGCGCAGAGACTGCGGGCGGAGATTGGGCGTCTGACCGCACCCGGGGCCTTGTTGATTCAGGCTTCTGCACGCCCGTTGATCTCACCGATGATTTTGTGACAGGTGAGCAGGAGGGTTTATTTCTGGCGCATGTTCACGCCCAGCGCCACAACCTCAAGTTTGTTTATAATTACATAAAAGCTCTCAAAGCACCAGTGTTCTTTATTCGAATTGTCAGATATTTGTAAGCTCAAGTTTTCACTTTCACAAGATTATCTGTGTTTTCTGCAAAGTCGATTAGCAAGGCTGTTGCGAAGGTCAAGTTTAAGATCCAGTCTCAGCGCGGCCTTAAGCGCTCGCTACGTTTGCTTCTTGTATTCAGCAGTGACAGCCGACAGCAAAGTCAGTTTGGATTTTACACACATGTGCTTGCTGTTAGTTGGTCTTGGTGTTTTGAGGAGCTTATTACGCTGTTTAGTGTGAACTGCTGCGCTCATCTTGAAGTGCAGGACCTGTGGTTTTATTCCTTTCATTTTTAGTGGCAAATTGTTCTGGCAAGTTATTTTTAGAATTAAAAAATCCGTTTTTTTTATTATAATGTTATATATGGAATATTGTTTATGCACGCTGATTTTGCGTGGAAATTGTACTGTAGTGGAGAGAGAGAGAGAGAGAGAGAGAGAGAGAGAGAGAGAGAGAGAGAGAGAGAGAGAGAGAGAGAGAGAGAGACAGAGACAGAGACAGAGACACAGAGACAGACAGAGAGACACAGACAGACAGACAGACAGAGACAGAGAGAGAGGAAGGAAGGAGAGAGAGAGAGAGAGAGAGAGACAGACAGAGAGAGAGAGAGGAGAGAGAGAGACTGGTGAAGCAGGGTTCAAGGCACTCACGGGACACATGCTCGGGCAGCCAAGCCTGGCCCTGGGAACGCAGCCTACTCGTCTTACCTCATTGTAATAACCTTAAGGTTTTCCTGTGTAATTTTACACCTCGGTAATGTACATAAAGCTTTATACTCCCTTTCGACGAGGTTCTTCCCCCATTTACCAGAAATACCTTCACGCGAGGCATTTTTTCGTTTTCATTCGCACAATACATTTTCGTGGTCAACATTTTCATGGTAAATGAACAGAACAAGAAATAGTGCAGCGTGCGGGGACCTCCCCCTACCCCCCCCCCCCCACCACCTGTCACACCTGACAGGGTCGCCACACGAACAGAAACAATGAACTCTTTTTTTAAGTTATATCACAACCATTAACTATTAATTAATTCTTGTGAAGGATTCATAATTTGTGAGCATTAGTCCCTGAACTGAGATGGTGTCGGGTGCCTGTCTTGGATGCTCGTGAAGAATAAGTGGAATATTGGTCACTTGGCAGCTCTCCTGCTAGGGGAGTGGGAGGGGGGGGGGAGTAATCTTGCAGTTGCTATGTTGTTTTTGTTTAGTTTTTAGTTGTTTGTCCACAATGGCCTCCCATGCCGCCGATAATTAGGTCGCCTTTGCAAATTATGCATTTTAGGCTATTGTGCACAAGGTAATTTAGTAACGCTCGACGGTGAAAGGCCGGCGGGAGACGGCGGAGCGGCTGGGAAATGGCTGCTTGGCACCCGAGGCAGGAAGGAAGCTGTGGGCGCAGCAGGCCAACAATTCTTCAGTGTCGCCTTGGGTTGGGACGGTCTGGCCCGGCCCGGCCCAACCTCCAACCACGCCTCCACGTTTCTAACCGGCTGGGGGCGGGCGTCTGAACCGGTTTGATTTATATATAATAAAATATAATTATTTCATCCTTGTTTTCCAATAAAACATTGACTTATCTGTAACAGATAAAATGTAGCAACTTGTCATGCCAGGAAGGATTGTTTGCGGTAGCTGTAAACAACAATTTATTTTGTCGGGGACAGGCGTGTGTATATATACACTAACATTCAATAGGATACATTAACAACAGTTGTCTAACTCCCGGGTATCTTTACTGCTAGGTGAACACAGACATTAGGTGAAAGTAAACGTGCCAAACCATTTCTGTCCCTCTCGGGATTCCCGATTGTGAGTCGTGGGCGAACCCAACTGTTCTACCAAGACCCCTGAAGCGTGTACGTCACCTTATTGATGAGTGAATCACAAGCATATCACCTCCCCCTTCCCTCAATAATGTCTTGGAACACGCTCTCCCTCTTCTAGTTTTTTTCTGCTACTAAAGTTTTCCTTAATTTAGATCTGTTTCACTCTAGTTACCCGCAAGGGCGAGATGATTCATGTAGCCTATTCTAGGCTATTTTGTCTATGCTCTCGTTTAAGTCTTTATTTTCATGTGAAATTATAATTCAATTACACTTACTATTCGAAAATAGTATACAACCCAGTCGTTTGTTTTTGTGTGTATGTGTTTATGGATTCTGTTGTACATTCTTGTAATCAGACTAATGTGTGTGGCCTTGTATGCAATGCCAATCTGTTCTGAATACGTAGGCCTAGTTTCACACCGTTTGTCAATCTGGTAAAGCACCGTTAGGCCTAGGGCTGACAAGAATCGGGGAATAAGGACAGTCTCACCCATCGGTTAGATAAAGTGCTATTGGCCCTCGAGTTGTCTCGACTAACACTCTTATTGGAGGCCTCATTCAGATCTCTATTAGGTACGTAAAACGTGTTAGGAGCCATAAGTAGCAGTAAGTAGGCTGCAATACTTCCATGTCAGTGTATATTTTTGGACTTAGGTTACCTAATTGTCGACCGTGTCCCTGGGGGACGATGGGTTGGGCTAGGCGCCTGCTGGAGTAATTGTGGGCTTAGTGTCGTGAGCTGGGCGCTGAATGTTGTTGGGGGAGGAGGGGGGGGATGGGGTCTACCACCTCGGGGTAAACTTAGCTAGTCTGAATATCGTTCATTTCTGTTGAGTGGGATTTAGAGACTTGCCTCTATGTACTGTTTTTAAGATTAAAGTAATTGGAAAAAGGTACTTTCTTTCCCTAAGAGACAATCTTGATACAATAGTAAATAAATGTTTTATTTATTCATTGAAAGTTTTATAATGTGTTTAACATGCAAAGTGTGGGAATAGAGAGGTGGGCTGAGAGAAGCAGATCTGAAATGTAACAAGCAAGCCCACTACGGTTGGGCAATAATATTTTTGTGAGTACCAAGCTCGTATTATGAATCCTTGACGATACGACGCGGACCTCACTTCCCCTCTCTGGTAATAACGGGAATGGGGTGGTTAGGGTGTGCTGCGTTGGCGGTCGATCCCCACAGGTTTAATGGGCTCGCCTGTGTCTGCTCACTGACTGCCTTCAAGTTTTCTTGTCGATTGAGTAAAGGGACGAACTCATTTCTAATTTAGATTAACCAAGATTCTTACCACATACATATAGGCTAGCTTTGTCTCATGTTTATACTTATATAATTAACTTGCCGGGGATATGAAGCATATACGCTCAAATGTTAGCCAATTAGTGTACACAAATTTGTATTTTGTTACAAATTTGCGTTTTTAATACGTATGTTCTGATAGATGGATATCTTAACCAAAACACTATGATATTTTTGGTCACTCCTCATGAGGGGCATGTATGCCACGTGGCTCTCCCCCCTCTCACTTCCACCCTCCCTTTCTAATTTCCATAAGTTGGCTTCCCCTCTCACGGGAAAAGATGAGAGTTGTGGTTGAGAGATATGCCATGTGGAGGACCGGGTGACCCCTGAGGCTGGCTCCCCGCGCCCCGGGGGAGGGCGGGCCAGCGAGCCCCGGGGGTTGTGTCGTAACATGTATGGAGCTCTGCTTATCGGCAGGGAGGCGGCGCCTCGCCAGTTAAGTCGTCCTCCAGAACTCTTATTAACCTCTGTCGGAGTTTACAACCTGCTGTTGATTAGCCTACTGATTACCACAACTTTTATCGGTGCTAAATACCTTGCCTTATTATTTGGTTTAGGTATTAGTTAAAAACCTAAATAATGGGAACAAAGTAATCTATTAATGCGGATGCCCCCCCCCCCTCCATGAAAGCCACCCAACAAAGCAGTCCTATGCTTTATTGTTCACCGACAGTGGGGAGGGGAGGGGAGGGGGGTCAAACCTCGCTAGGCTGCTTGGGACTTTTTTTTTTTTTTTTGGTGGGGGCGAGGAGGGGGGGGGCCGAGCACCATATACCGGAGGTGGACGAGGAGCTCTCAGCCTCGTTTGTCTTCGCCCAGTAGCCTCGGCTCCCGTCTTATTGTATAGTTAACTTCTTCGTTTATAGTCTCATTGCGCCTGAGACGGACGACTTGTGCTGAAGTTCTTTGCTCTTGAGCACGGCTTCTCGGCGAGATTGTTTAAAACGAGAAAATTATTGTTAATTCAGACACGTGACCTTAGTACCACCGGCAAATTTAGTTACATTAGGTATATTACATAGAGGAATTTGTCCATTATTGTTTAATTTAAAGTAAGTTTCGGTTATTTGTTCATAAAGGTAAGAGTCCCTCTTGTTGGTACTCGACCGCTTACCTGTCAAGTTGCCTACGGTGGTTCGTTGATAGGGCGTTGCACGCTTCCATTACCTGCCGCCCTACACCAAGTGCAACGTTAGGATCTCGGGGCCATAACCTCTAGTCGATAGCTTGGCCGCGAAACAAAACAAAAGTTAAAGCCTTTGTACCCTGGACAGTGATCAATGCATGGAAAGTCAATAGCCCAGGTCGATGCTACTTCCCGCTCTGCCACAACTGTACCATATGGAACCCTAATTCCTGATAATCTTTTCTATGTACACCCACTTATGAACTAACGATAAGTTCAGATGGGGAGTGGCGTCCCTTTTATCTATACCCCCTCATTCTCCCCTCGCTCCCCCCTCCCCCCCTCCCTCCCCTGGTTGCATCAGCAGCTCTTAAAACCTCCCCTCCTCCTCCTCCCCCCCCCCTGGCCCGCATGTGTTCCCACGCACACTCCGTTCACTGGGGTTATTTTATGAATATATTATCATAGGTAATATGCGAGCTGCCTCCACTATGATGTAGCTTGCAGTTGTATCACAAGACCTGGGACTGGGGAGAGGAGAGGGCGCCAGGTGTGGGGTTAGGGAGAGGAGGGTGCCAGGTGTGGAGTTAGGGAGAGGAGAGGGCGCAGGTGTGGGGA